TTAATTTTGAATAACAGGAAGATGTTTCATGACTTAGCAATTAATTAGCCAGAAGGGTAACTTTTCCCTAGTAAGGATATTTATGCCATTTGGGAGACAACACAGGATCACGAAATTACATGACTGAAGAAGTCAAATTCCACTTTATGAACGAGTATTCTGGGTTTATTTGTGATGCTTGGAAGACTCATATTCCATAACTTTGTCTACTATTATATTGAAACCATAAATGTATCCATCTTTAATATTAAAATCACCAATGTAAACTTAATGTTCAAATAGGGTTGTCATTACTGGGTTTTGAATTCACTAACACAAATCCTTTTTCTGGATGTATGATCACCTGGTTAGATGATGATTGCCTGTAATTTGCAAATATTCTTGCTTTTTCTTTGTAAAGTTAGGCCACATATGCTAAAAAAAAATCTTGTAACTACTCTGGGTGGAAAACCTTCATATCTAGAACATGGCAAAACAGTTAAAATATCCAATGAAGCATTAAAGTTCTGAAGACTTACAGCTAAACAGTTATATTAATTGAAAAGATACAAATCAAAATAATTTCTTGTACAACTTAAGAGTTCTATCACTAACATTTCTAGATTTTTAAATGAAACCTGTGTTGAATATTTAATTCCATATTTATTCTGAAAACTGTAAAAAATAACTTTTATCTTTTAAAATAAATAACCTTTTAAACAATGGAATGGTGTCTGGTCTTCTTGATAAACTGGAAAGAAATTGATTCGTATTTACTCAGTCAATCCATTTAGCAAATGAAACCAAAACCAAAAAGGTCAAGGAAATCTATTGGGACATGCCATGATGGATAGTACAAATCTCAGTCTGTATATTAAAAATTTGTGGTTAGTTTTACAGAATCAGAGAATTGTTACTGTGCAGAAAGATGTCATTCGGGCCATTGTGTCTGCATTGGCTGTCTGGATATTTTCAGCTAGTGCCAATCTCCTGTCTTTTATCTGTAACCCTTCACATTATTTCTATTTAAGTAATCATTCAATGCCCTTTTAATTCTCCAGTTGAACCTGCCTCCATCACACTTCCAGGCAGCACCTTTCTAATTACTCACTGTGTGAAAAAGATTTTTCTCACCTCACATCTGCTTCTTTAGCAAAACATTTTAAACCTGTTCCCTTTGGTTTTTGATTTGTTTATCAATGGGAACAATTTCTCCCAGCCACTTTGTCTGGGCTCCTCATGATTTTGAAAAATTCCATCAAATCTCTCTGCTTTTTCCTCTCCAAGGAAAACAGTCCCACCTTCTCGAATCTTTCCTCATAACTGGTGACTTATCACTGGAACCATTCACATTAGCCTCCTCCACATTATAGGGTCATAGTATCATAGAGTAATACAGCATGGAAGCAGGCCCTTCGGCCCAAACTGACCTGTGCTGACCCTGGTGCCCACTCAGCAAGTTCCAATTGCCCACATTTGGTCCATAACCCTCTAAACCCTTCACATCCATACACCTTTCCAGATGTCTTTTTAAATGTTACTATTGTATCTGCCTCAACCACTTTCTCTAGCAGCCCATTCCATATACACACCATTCTCTGTGTGAAGAAGTTGCCCCTCAGTTCCTTCTTAAATTTTTCCCCTCTCACTTTAAACCTGTCTCTAGTTTTCAATTCCCCATCCTTGGGAAAAAGACTATATGCATTCATCCTATCTATGCCCCTCATGACTTTGTACACCTCAACCATGTCACCCCTCATTCTCCTACATTCCAAGGAATAAAATCCTATCCTGTCCAACCTCTCCCTATAACTCAGGCCTACTAGTCCTGGCAACATCCTCGTAAATCTTTGCACACAATTTAACTATGTCGTTCCTATAACGATGACCAAATCTGTACACAATACTCCAAGTGCGGCCTCACCAACAACTTATACAACTGTAAGATAACATCCCAACTCCTATACTCAATGCCTCGACTGATGAAGGCCAGCATGCCAAATGCTTTCTTCACCACCCTGTCCACCTGTGATGCCATTTTCAACAAACTATTTACATGTACTCCTAGGTCCCCCTGTTCCACAACACTCCTCAGGACCTTACCATTTACTGTATAAGTCCTACCTTGACTTTCCAAAGTGCAACATCTCAAACTTAGCTGTATTGAATTGCATTTTCCAATCCTCAGCTTACTTCTCCGTCTGATCAAGATCCCTCTGTAATTTCTGATAACCTTCTTCGCTATCAACGATACCTCATAATTTCATCCGCACACTTACTAATCATGCCTTGTACATTCAGATGCAGATCATTTATGTAAATAAAAAATAACAATTATCTCCAATGCATTCAAATCCTTTCTATACTGTGGCAACCATTACTGTTCACAATATTCCAGTTGAGGTCTAACCAGTGTCTTGTGTAACTTCAAATCACCTCCCTGCTCGTGTACTCTATGCCTGTACTTATGAAGCCTAAAATACTGAGGAAGGGTCATGCAACCCTAAATGTTAACATTGATTTCTCTCCACAGATGCTGCCAGACCTGCTGAGCTTTTCCAGCAATTTCTACTTTTGTCTCTAAAAGTACTGAATGCCATATTAATGGCTTTCTCACTGCCAGTCCTGTCATCTTTAATGACATACTTACTCACGTCTCTCCATTCCTACACACCCTTAGAATAGTAACCTCTTTTTAATATTTTCTCTCCATGGTTTTTGTCCTAAAGTACATCTCCTCTCACCTCTCTGCACAGAACTTCAACTACCACCATTTGCCCATTTCTATGATGTGTCAATGTCCTTTTAAAATTCTGCACTGCCTTCCTCACAGATTACAGTTCTCCCAAGTATTGTCTCACCCACAAACTTTAAAATTGTCTGTTCTACACCAAGGTCTAGATCCTTTCTATGTATCAGGAAATCCAAGGATCTCAATATTGACCCTGGGGAAATCCACAACATATCTTCCTTCAAACTGACAAGTTCCAACTAATCATTTGTAGTGATTGGAACCAGGTGGATCTTGTTGACTATGAGATCTTTGTTTGGGATTGTTAACCTGTGCCAATCAGGAAGCTCTGGCTGACCAAGACAAACAGGGGATTTAGAATCTCCTCAGTTCAGGGGGACTGACTCTGAGCTGGCTGGCCATGGCCAGTGTACTGTGCACAAGTAAATAAAGGGTGACTTGGTGACAGGATACCGGCCTCTGTACAATTATTTCACCATTACTTTGTTTCCTATCCCTCAGCCAATTTTACATAGTGTCCCTACAGTATAGAAACAGACCATTCAGCCCAACAAGTTTACACTGACCCTCCAAACAGCATCTCACTCAGACCCATCCCCCTACCTTATAACTCTGCATTTCCAAAGGCTAACGCACTACACATTCCTGAACAGTGAATCCTGGATATCAAGATACTTGTTAAAACTCATTCAAAAACATTATAGACATATTCTATTTTTATTACACTAATAGATTTCCCATGGTATAGCTTGTAGTTATCTAGAGGTTGTAGAGTTTTACAATGGTGAGGGGGAGGGCCCTACTAATTTCTGACAGAATTAGTTTCTCCTTTTCTCACCGGAGCCAATGCGCTTCCTTCCTTTTTTCTGTCCACAAAGTCAGATTTTTTAAAAACTCACTGTATCCAAAAGCGATAACATTTTTATTCCCTTTCCCATTTTTCCTCTATTAATTCCATTATTCTCACCTCAACAATTTTCTTTTATTATTGATTGATTTATTGTCACATGTACCTAAGTACAGTGAAAAACTTTGTTTGCAAGCAGTGCAGGCAGATCATAGTCAGCAAGGACATACAGATCATAGGGTGGAAAAATAACTTGGACAGAGTGAGGCATACAGGTTACACTGCATGGGACGTGTGATAGGCAAGATCAACATTAACTAGGTCAACATTATTTGAAGTTAGAGAGTCCATTCATCAGTCTTCTTCCTGCTCCCCCCTCCCCGCACCCCCCCCCCCCCCCAACTCAGTCTATGGGCACCAGCCTTTGTGATTTCCTACTGAGAGAAATCAATAGTTTATTCATCAAGAGGACTCCAATGCATGGACATTCCATTTTCATTGTCATTTCGATCTGTGCTTCTCCCACTTATTTGCACTCTTCCTCCTTCTCCCTGGCAGATACAGTTTCCTTATCATCAAGTATTTGTTGTTTTGTCTCCCACCCTTTCTTCTCCCACTCCTGATCGTACCGTCATGTGGAAGACTGCTCAGAATCAGCAGAGTTACCCAAATTTTAAAAAAAATGGAGCTGGGCCACAAAACTAGCAAGAAGAAATTGAGAAGGAAAACAGCTCAGAGAAAAGCACAATAATTGAATAAGTACATAATACAGAGGAAAAGTCATTCTGCATCTTGCATTGTAATTTTAGCTGCAGTGGGTCTGGCAACTGAGTCCACTCTGGTCAGAATCTTCAGTAATATTCTGCCCCTACAGTAAATAATACTCTATCTCTCCTTGGTCTCCTGGAATATTGTCAGAAATCACACGACACCAAGTTATAGTCCAACAGGTTTATTTGAAGACACAAGCTTTGGAGTCTTGAATATTGAGTACTTTGTTCGCTATCCCCAAAGATAATTACAGCATCTTGCAGAACCTTTCTCTCTGGTGTTCTTTATGGATTTCTGGCCTTTGAATCTGCATCACGTCCTGCCTACAATAGCACAAAATTCATCTGTTGTGAGTTTTTTTTTGATGTATGTCCAGATCTGTCAAACTTGACAGGTTTGAGTCTAAAATGCAGTTGATTTCGCTTCGCGGCCCCAGCCGGTATCGGAGCTGTGGAATATAATGAGAGTCTCCCTGTGAATGTCTGGGGAAAGGGAAGCAGCTCTCTCCGGGGTGAAGGAACAGCACTGCTGGCCAGTTTGCAGGAGCCACGAGCAAACCTCCAAGCCCCAGCACCAAAGAGTTGCCGGGCTCGAGTCACTTGACCGGAAGCAGCTGTTTGTTTTGGAGACTCTGTTGCCATGGTAACAGGGCTTTCGCGGAGGAGGGAAGGGGCCGGAGCCATTTGGTGATTCGCTGCATGTGGGTGAGTGAAATCAAAGGGCAAAAAAAATAACAGTGTTACAAGGAATCGCCGAGCTGCTCCCCATAATCAGCTTCAGGGTTAAGCTGGCAGCACAGAGAGAGATAGTAGGAACGAGAAGCTGCTTTTACTTTTCCCCTCCCCTGTACTCCATACAGCTTCACCCTCTGGGTGCAGACACTGCCCGCCCTGAGATGCTCACCGGTGATTTCAATGGTATTTCTTCAGGAAGGATATTCTCTCCCTTCCTCCCTTTGGGCATGTGGCAATGCCATGTTTGCTCCCTCACTGCCAACCCCTTTGACAGCTGACATTGGGGCAAACAAATGGTAGCACCAAAGGAAGCAGAAGAGAGATAAATACTGTTTCATTAAACATACTCACCCCGCACCCACACCATCCACTCAGCATCAATGGAGTGGGCAAAAACAAAGTATGTCCTCAGAACAGAGGAAGGGTCACCGGACCCGAAACGTTAACTCTGTTTTCTCCTTCACAGATGCTGCCAAACCTGCTGAGCTTTTCCAGCAACTTTGTTTTTGTTCCTGATTTACAGCATCCGCAGTTCTTTTGGTTTTTATCAATGGAGTGGATACTGCTCTCCCAATGGAAGCCCAGCGCTAGTCCTTCCCCGCAGCCGAGGGGAGGTGGTCTTTCATTCTCCAACCTCAGTTCTTTAATTGACGCAAGTGGCAAGAAAATCGAAAACAGGAACAAGTTATTAGGGTCTGCAACAACTGCACTGAGGACGGCTGATAATAAACAAAATAAACTCCAACCTCCCACGACTGCACCATCCACACACGGACGTATCGGATGTAATTAATATGCATTTATCAATGGTGCGAATGTACTATCGTTTGGAGGGACAACTTATGCGATCCTGTAATACTCGCCTTTCTTATTAGTAAATCTAAATTTGCACGACAGCGCCGATTAATTATAAATGTGATTGTGTCAGCAAAGTTCTGTGTGATTTTTCAGAACACAGTTAGAACTATTATAGATTGTAATTGTAAATGGATCACATTCAAGTGTAAAACTTCAAGCATAGTTTATTGGTTTCAAAGAATTGACAAGCTTTCTCAGTACAAAAGAATCCTTAACCAATTTTTCAGGTTGGGCGAAAGACAACGACGGAGAAAGCCGAGAAATCGCCTCAGTTTTGATGTTTTTTTTACGCGGAAAGAGAACTTATTATGTAGCTAGGGGATTTAGCAGCAAAAAGGCAGTAGTGTTCAAGTGTATGAGGGAGAGGGACAAGCAATTACTGGACAGAAAATTAATAAATTAAATCCATCCACAATTTGAATGGGAAATTCCTGGACTCAGTGTGTCCCAAGGAATCTGAAGAACTACGAATGAAACAGGTGCACGCAAGTCAACACCGGAAGGAAATAAGTGAAAAGTCTGGTATTACCAGCATTGGATTGGATATAATGTCAACAATGACGCTCTAGATCCCTTCAAACTCTAGGAGAAAACATGCAACCAACAGATTATCTGAATTTCTTTCAATCCTCTACTAAGATGATGCGGCAGTATGTATATTGTCAGGATTACACCAAAATATATCCTCAGAGGGGTCTGTGAACTAGTGAATTTGTAGAAACTGGTTGTCGCCCCCTTTTACAATTTCAGTGTTTCAATTTTTAAAAATGGCCAACAGTTATACTTTAAACAAGAAAAACAGTTTATTACACAACTGTTGCTGGCAGTTATTTCAATAAAATGTGGTAAAATGATTAGTTAAAATACAGATACAATGATATAAAGTAAGGAAGGGTGTAACTTTGAATGAAGGTGAAAATGAGATCAGTTTGCCCCACTTTTGCAGGTTGGCTTGTTTGAAGTTTCTCTTTCCAAAGTAAAGGGGTTGGAACTTTGTAGTCAGAATCAGCAGCTTTTGTGGCTTCTGTAGTCGAAGAGTTGATAGTTGCTCCCACAGATTGGCCATGCAGACTAAATCCTGGGATTGAGTGAAAGCTCCTTTGTTTCATTTTTATGGCTCTGAGTTGCCTGGTTCAGCACAGAAGTCCAAAATATCCTCCTCCTGTCTTCCTGTTGAGAAGCAGATAACGATTGCTCACAACCACATATTTATATAGGTCAAAACTGAAAATAACTTATCTTAAAACTATTGAATTATGGTTCCATAATATGTATTGGGCTTGGGACACAGACACATACTTTTGTTTTTAGTTGAGATAATTAGCCTTTTAACTGTCTCAGCTATTAACTTGGATGGTTTTTATACTGTCGAGTTTTAGGTGCGATAGGAAAAACCATTCACACTTCCAATTAAATCATTAAAAGGAGTGTCTGTTGAAAATGGTAATTAAATTTCAAAAGGGTGCATGTGGGGTTTTTTGAGATAAGTAATGTGTCAAGATAATCATGGGAGGTGTTAATCTACATATCAACTGGACAAGTCAGATGTAGATGAGGAATTCATAGAATGTTTTCAGGCTAGCTTCCAGGAACCACATGTTCTGGAGCCAAGCAGAAAGCATTCTATCCTGGGCCTGATTTTGTGTAATGAGAAAGGATTAATTATGTACTCTATAGTGAAGATTCCTCTAGGTAGCAGTGACTATAATATGATCAAATTGTGCATGCAGTTTGAGAAAAAAGAAAGTGGGTCTGAGACTATATTAAAAAGGAAAGGGACATTATGATAACATGGAAAAGAGAACTGGCTTAAGAGAATTGATATATTAAAGTTAAAAATTAGTTCAATAGATTTGAGGAGCAAGGATTTAAGGGAATATTTCAGAATACGTTTCCAATACATTCCAAAGCAGAAGAAAAAAGTTCAGATGGACAATGTAAAGACTGTATCTTTCTATATTTCTTTTTTAAAATTGTTTTTGGAATGGGAATGGGATTACTTTACTTACCAAGGAGTATGGAAGGGATTGCAGTATGTTTTGAAATCAAGTTGCAAAAACTCGTTGTAAGTGGTCTTTACTTTGCTGCTTTGCTCAACATGTAAGGGAGGCTGGTTACAGATGGGCTGGCACCAGGAGGTGTGTACAAAATGAGATTCAGTCAGCAACAAGTGGTTGATAACTTTGTTGGGTTGTGAGCAGCTGTGGCTGACAAAGGCAATCTGCCTACCATAAATATGTGGTTGGCTCCTAGGAGCTGAACAGTTTGTGGACACGAATGATATTGCCATAAGCCTTCATAGCTTTGAAAAGGGAGGTTGTGTGTCTTTCTGCAGTCGGGTTATTTGTCAATAGATCATAGCTGTTAGCCTGCAGCTAGAATATATTTAGAATAAATAATGATTATTATTAAATACGGGAACCTGGTTCGGGTTTTCTGTTTACCTGTATCTAAACAGATGTGTAAGTTAGGAAATTCTGTGTATTTTTCAAAATTATTAACTTTTGTGATGATTTCAGGAATAGATTGGTTTGGTTCTCAGTGTGTTATCCCAGCAAAATGTGACAACAATCCCAACATCTGTGGTTAACAAGAAATGTTAATGATATTATCAAGATAATCAAAAGAAAACAATTGTGGAAAGGAAGGTGCAGGCCAGAAGATTGGATGGAAAGTCAGAAGCAGCAAACAATGACCTAAAAACTAATAAAGAAGGAAAAATTAGAGTTCAAAAGAAAGTTAGCCAGCAATACAGAAATAGATAGTTACAATTTCTACACATATTTAAAGAAGAAAAAATTAACAAAGCAAGCTTTAGTCCTAGTCAAAGTGAGGTTGGAGACTTAGTCATGGAAATGAACGCACCAGTCTTCACTATAGAGCATAAAAATAATAGCCCAGAACAGTGATACATCAGGAAATGAAAGGGAGGGAGGAATTCAAGAAAATTATAGCCACCAGAGACATGGTAGAGAGTAAATTATTACAGTTTTAGGCTGACATGTGTGCAGGTACTGATGGACTTGATCCTGATGTCTTAAAATAAGTGGCTAGTGAGATATTTTATGTACTTGTTTTAATTTTCCAATATTCCCCAGATTTGGTGTGATCTGATTAGATTGAAAGACAGTGAATGTAACACGCTTATTCAAAAAAGGAGGGAGACAGTAAACAGGAAACTATGTGCTAGTTAGCTTAAAATCTGTCATAGGGAGATTGTTAGTAGCTATTATTAAAGCGACAATACATGGCACTTGGACACATATGTTCAAAGGAATCAGTCGAGTCAACATAGTTTTGTGAAAGGTAAATCTTGTTTGATCAATCTGTTGGAGTTCTTTGAGGATGTAACACATACTATGGATAAAGTGGAAACTGATGGATGTGCTGTGCTTAGGTTTCTAGAAGGCATTTGATCGCAAAGGTTATTGCAGAAAATAAAATCTCATGATAGAGGCTGTGGCATTTTGGCATGAAGAGTGCTTGGCTAACAGGAAGTGGAAAATAGGCATAAATGGGTCTTTTTCAGGTAGCTAAAATGAAATATTTTAAAAACATACATAGAAAACATATGATAACTAATTATAAATATTTTACTACTTTATCTTTTTAACTCATTTTTAACCAATTCAGGATTTATCTTATTTGCATAAATATATCAAATAATAACGAAACACTTATTATATTCCTTGCAAAGAATTTCAGTTTGTCTCTCTTGGGTGTTATGGATACATTAATTTAGCCCAACGAACTTCCAGGTCATTCAACTTCGACAACCTGGAAAGGGATATGTTATTTTTGGTACAAAAATGTACAGAAATATATACATTTTTTATTAGATACAATGACAAGAAACTTGCATTGTACCATAAAGAAAGATTATGTTGCAAATTTAAATTTAAAAAGTTTTTAAAAAAATCACACAATAGAATGAATAAGGTCACTCACTGGACAAACTATATTCTGATTGAACGTCATATGGTAGAATTTCATTGAATTAGAAGTGAAGTGAGAGAATGACACTTTAATAAAGTATAAATATGTTCCAATGATAAGAAAACCAAGTTCAGAAATGGGTTATTGGCATTATGTTTAACTGACCCACAAATTGG